CTTAGCTGATACTTCACAGAGTTACCATTTTTGTCTTCTTTTTGTTGTTGTTGTTGTTGTTGTAGTGAGAACGCTTGAGATCTGCTGTCTCAGCACGTGTCATGTATACAATGACACAATGCGGTATGGTTAACTGTAGTTTCTTGTTGCACATTCGATCCCAGAACTGACTCATCTTGCGTAACTGAAACTTTGTACCTTTGACCACTATCCCCCCAATTCCCCAACCCCCTGCTGGTGGCCAGTCTACTGTCTGCTTCCCTGAGTTTGACTAGTCTCCGTTCCTCATGTAGGTGAGATCACGCGGTATTCATCGTTCTGTGTCTGGTGTCTTTTACTGAGCATAATGCTCTCCAGGTTCACCCATGTCGTTCCCAGTGGCAGGACTTCCTTCTTGCCTACGCCTGCAATTCCACTGTGTGTGTGTCTACATAATTCCGCATCTTCTTTATGCATCCATCTGTTCATGGGCATTTGTTTCCATATCTTGCGTGTTGTGACAAAAGATAAGTGTCAGCGAGGATGTGGAGAACAGGGGACCCTCGTGCACTCTTGGTGGGGATGCAAAGTGGTTCAGCCACTGTGGAAAACAGGATGGAGGTTCCTCAAGAGACTATGATCCTGCAATTCCAGTTCTGAGTACATATTCAAAGGAAATGAAGTCAGAATCTTGAAGAGACATCTGTGCCCCATGTTCATGGCAGTGCTATATTCTAAGACATGGAAGCTCTAGCCAAGGCATGGGAAGTTTGGCACGTCTCAGGCCCGCTCACATGTGGATTTGGAGCTAGTTGTCCCTTTGCCTTAACCTGGGGAGACCCGGGAAACCGTCCTTGGACATTGCCTTTTTCCTTAAAGAATAATACATCTGTTGACTCTGGGGAACATAAAAGAATGTGCTCAGTGTCCCAGTTTTTCTTAAGCCTGTGGTTCAGAGTTGTCTTCCTGAGTTTCTAAATCCAGCCCACCTGTGGCCCTCTTCCAACATTTTACAGGCAGGCCAGCACCAGCTCTCTCTTGCACCAGAGGTGAAATTGTATTGAGGAATTGTGCAAATTCACAGACTTTGGTGTTGAACAAAGCTTTGTATCTGCGCTCTAGCTCACTAGATCAGTGACCTTTGGTACGTAATTTTGCTCATCCCCCTCAGGTGTAGGTATAGATGGCCCCCACCTGTAGATTGGACAGTGAGGGTAGCACCGCCGTGGGGTAGGTGTAATGATTTAATGAGATGAAATGCATATTCTAGGCCATCAGATTTTGCTTCTATAGATGGGGAATCATAGTAGTGCCCCTGTGAGGTAGATGTAAGGATTTAGTGAATGAAATGCATATCATAGTCCATATCACGTAGTACGTGATCAGTTAAATTGAGCCATTAGAAACAGCATATATAGGGCACCTGGGTGGCTCAGTCAGTTAAGCGAATGACACTGGCTCAGGTCGTGGTCTCAGGGTCGTGGAATCAAGCTCCATGTCGGGCTCCCCACTCAGCCTGGAGTCTGCTTGTCCCGCTCCCTCTGCCGCTCTCCACCACTTTCTCTGTTTTCTCAGATAAATAAAATCTTTAAAACATTTTTAAAAACCAGTACATATAAAACCCGTGAAGTAATTCATATCGTCTTCCCTGATGTCATCTAGAGAATGCAAGTATTTAATCAACTGGGGAACACACACATATATCATCTCTGTGTATTTAGTATGGTTTTTACTTTGGAATCAGTATAGATTGACAGAATTACAAATTTTAAAGATAGTTACTGCTTTCCTTGTACCCAGCTTCCTCCAGCATTAACCTTCTACATAACCACTGTTATCTGTCAAGAAATTAACATTGGAACATCACCTTTAACTGAACTATACATTTTCCACTAATGTGCTTTTTCGTTTCAGGATCCAATCTGCAACGCCACATTGCACCTAGATGATACATTTTTAAAGGATTCTTTTTCATTATTGTGGTATTTTGGCCTACCTTCTGCTTTATTTTATGTTAACCAGTGGGGCAATAAGTATATACTGTAGCCATTAACCAAGATCTTTATGTTATGTAGCAAACTTCCTTTGGTGTTCTTAAATTAAGTGAAGTTCTACGAACTTGATCTAGTAGTAGGACAGTCATGTGCATATTCTATCAGCTTGATCCCAAAGAAGGATAAACATCTGAAAATCATATGAGGTTCATCTAGAAGGATAGTCATGTGTGTATTCATCTCGTTGAAGAATAAACACATGAAAATTCTCCGAGCTTGATCCCACAGATGGAAAAACAAATGAAAACCCTATGAGGTTTATCAAGAAGGATAGCGGGTACATATTCTATGAGTTTGAACTCGAAGAAGAATAAGAGTTAAGTCTATGAGTTTGATCTAGTAGAATAGATTTTTTAAAAATTCCATGAGCTTAAACTAGTAGAATAATAGGTGAAAATTTTATGAGGTTCATGTGGTAAAAGGCATGTGCATATCCTGTGAGCTAAATCTTACAGAAGGATAAACAGATGAAAAAAATCTGTGAGTTTGAGCCAGTAGGACAAGCAGCTGAAAATATTATGAGGTTCATCTAGTAGAAGGATTCGCATGTGCATAATCTGTGAGATTGACCTGGAAGAATAAACAGATGGAAGTCTACGGGCTTGATCTAGTAGATGGATAAGCAAGTTTAAATTCTGTAAGCTTGATCTAGTAGAAGGATACATAGATGAAAGTCTATGAGCTTGGTCTAATAGAAGGATAAGCAAGTTTAAATTCTGTGAGTGTGGATAAGCAGGTGAAAATCCCATTATCTCGATCTGGTAGAAGGGTAAACAGGTGCACATTCTGAGTTTGATCGAGTAGAAGGATAAGCAGGTGAAATGCCATGAGCCTGATCTACTATACGAATAAGGAGGTGAAAGTTCTATGTGCTCGATCTCCCAGAAGGATAATCAGACTAATTCACAGGTTGTGATTCCTCGTGTAGCTCAGTCAGCTATTGACAACTTGAATAAATTATGGCAAAGTGTTTGAACTTCCCTATTCTTTGATGTGATAATCTGTGATGCAAGAGTAACAGTATTTGTCGGATAATTACCTTAAGATCATGTTGAAAAGATTTAGTGCGATACTTTTAACTTCTCATGGAGGCCGTTCTAGAAACTGCAGACTATGATATGAATTTATGTGTGAATTTTCCCTGATGTCTGTGCATACAAAACATTTAGTGCCTGAAGTTTGAAGATCTTGTTTATAAGAGGAGTTCAGGCTGTAATCGTGAGCTACAGTTCATTCAGCCGTGGTCAGAATTCACTGTACCATCATCAAAAACCAGCATGACGAAGTGAAGCTTTGCTTCAAGATCCCTTGAACCTCTGTCTCCGGCAATCCATTTTTTAAGTTTCGATGGCATTTGCATCCTTTGTTAACCATGCATGGTATTCATGCTTTCTCTCCTTGCTACGCATCTGCGTTGTCCTTCAACTTTCTTCACTTCACTCTTTCATTCTTTTTTCTAAAGTCTGAAAAGCTATTTTCAAGGAGCTGAACGTCCATTCTCTCCCTTGTTTCCAGCCTGACATCCCATGGTTATTATTCCTGGGGTGTTCAGCTGTGCGCAGTGCATTTGAAAGCTGTGGGGAAGGACTTTCCGGGAAACCATGCATCTGGTTTTACCTCTATCTGTGTGGGCTTCCTGCATCGCCGTGGGGTGGGGGGAGACCCGGCCCTTGGCTCCCTGAGCCCTGTGCTGGGAAGCCGCTGCCTGTGTCCCTCCAGGCGTATCCGTGGCGGGCCTTGGAGAGCAGCCTCTCTGCAGGGCCACTCCCACTGGAGCTCGGCTCACCACACCGTGCTCTCCCCAAACCCCTGTCCTGCTCTGTGTGCTTAGAGTCAAGTGACCTCGTACGGACAAAGCTCATTCCCTCAACGAAATGGTAAGAGCTGTCCTGCTAGTAAAGTACTAGCATTGATGAAAACGGCCATGTCGGGTGCTGCTCCACTTCTGTTCTAGACACTGGACGTGGCATTTGCGATAATTCTACCTAACGCTCAACCGAATGTGTTGGGGATGTGAGGCACGGATGCCTGAGCTGCAGAGCTGGCGTTTTCTTTTCTTGTGGCTGCCCTGAAAATTATCGCAAATTTCGTCGCTCAAAACAGCACAGATTGATTAGTTTATAGATCCGGAGTGCAGGTGTCCAAAAATGGGTCCACCTGCGCTAAAAATCAAGGTGTTGGCACAGCTGTGTGCCTTTGCGAAGGCTCCAGGGGAGAAGGTGTTTCCGTGCCTTTTCCAGCATCTAGAGGCAGCTGTATTCCTTGGTGTGGGGCACCTTCCTCCATCTTCAGGGCCCGCTGCATAGCATCAGCCAGCCTCTCTCTCTGACCTGATTCTGAGTCTCCTGCTTCCCTCCTCCTCTTATCAGGACCCTTGTGATCACGCTGGACCCACTCAGATAATCCAGGGTCATATTCCATATTATCCTGGGGATATGGTTCCCCTGTAAGAGATACCGTATACCTGCTTCCCTCCTCCCCTTATCAGGACCCTTGTGATCACGCTGGACCCACTCAGATAATCCAGAATCCTAAGCACTTTGGCCATGAAAGAGACCACATCCCCAGGTTTTGAGGATGTAGACATGGGCATTTTGGGGTACTACTGGTTTGCCTACGACCATTGGCAAAAGTAGAAATGGAATTTCAGCTTTGTGACTCCGTAGTCATTGACTTGAGTCCTTTCTTACTCCGAGAGCTGAGTTTCCCCGATGACAGTCATAGCTCGTGACCACTAGGTGATGCTGGCCTGTGTGGTGCATAGTAGGGACCACGTCGTATTTTCTTTTCGCCACCATGTATGCTGTATTGCTAACAAAATTTTCATTGAATCCATATAATTAGAGAACTTGGCTCTTCCAAATCACCCGCCCCATGCCAAACATGGAAGAGTCCACTGAAATGAGCCTTAAACCAAGCTTTGAAAAGACGTACGTCTCCCTGTTGCCTCTTTTTTTGGTCTTCCAGGGGGGAAAGCAAACAACTGGGAAGGAGGTATCCGGATTCCGGGCATTCTTCGGTGGCCAGGGGTGATAAAGGCTGGGCTAGAGATTGATGAGCCAACGAGCAACATGGACATATTTCCTACGGTGGTCAACCTCGCAGGATCGCCATTGCCCGAGGACAGGTACTGTGACTCAGACGCACTTGGTATTGTGTCATTCAGATCTCACAGGGGCGAGTGTGTTCTGGTTTGCCTGCATGACGGCATTGTTATCTCCAGATGGACTTGTCATCCACGTCCAGTTAGGGGGCTCACTGATGGGGCCGCCGACGCAGAAACGCCGTCAATCCCATTCTCCCAGTGGGAAGTCAGCGGCAAGGTGCGGTGTCTGTGTTGGCTCTCATGAGTCTTTGACTTTCAACATCCTGCTGATCCTGTCTCTCCTGGCTGTGCCTTCCACGGGCCGGTCCACAGGGCAGGTGGGCAGCCACCTCTTTGACCCACCATGTTTGGCTCCCCTGCCTTCGCTCGGGGTCCCACTCAGCTGCTCTTTGCTGCAGCAGCAAGAAAGGCAGCCGGTTCCCCCGTTAACGGCCCTCCCTCCCAGCATGTCTTCATTTAGCAAGTTCTAAATGAAACGTCTTTCTCTTGAATTTAAATACAACTTCATATGACATTGCCAATGGTTTCTTCTTAAGTATTATTACCAATCTGAAGAGTTTTAAGTGAAGCATGCTGATTAATTGTTTTCATTAGTTTGGTGGCAGGCCAGGCTAATGTCATGGCAGGCGGGGCTGCAAATCTTGTTTCAATTCAGCTGCCAGCTGAACGAAGAGGAAACAGGAAATAGAGAGGTGAGCGCAGCTCAGCCAGCGCTCAGTCCGGGATAGGTTTGCTCATTTCTCATTGCTTTTAAGCTTGTTTTATCGTTTATTGTTTCCTTATTGTTTTGAAGTTTGTTCTGTAGTTGTATCTTCCCCGCCCCCAACACACACACACACACACACACACACACACACACACACACACACACA